AACCCTGGTTCGATCCCTGGATCAGGAAGATCCCCTGGAGAAGGGAATGGCAAGATCAGGCTTCCCATTGATCTTCAGAATACTGGTTACCCACTCCAGTATTCTTGCCTGGAGAATCCCATGAACAGAGGAGCCTGGTGGGCTACGGTCCATGGGGTCCCAAAGAGGAGGACACAACTGAATGACTAACACGCACGCATCAGTGAAGTGATTCGCCCCATAGACACTTCACGCCCCATAGTAGGAGGGTAACTTTCCCTGAAATAACCCACTCTGCTTAAAACTTCCTCTTCCCACCCGATTCTGCCTATAAAAGCGTTTCACTTTGTACAGCTGTTTGGAGGTCCTTTCTATTTGCTAGACAGAGTGCTGCCGAACTCATGAATCGTTGAAGAAGCCAGTAAAGTCTTTAAATTTACTCAATTGAATTGTGTGTTTTACATTCATTTGGGATCTTGAGCTACTCGAGAGAAGGGATCAGGGCCTTCTTTGGCAGTCCAGTGGTTAAGACTCTGAGCTTCCACTTCAGTGGGCGTGGGTCCAATCCCTGGTCAGGGAACTTAAGATTCCACATGCCATGCAGTGCAGCCAAAGAGAAAAAAGATAAAGAGAAGGGATCCACCGTGGTGTGTGGACAAACTCAGGTGTCCTAGCCTGAAGGCTGAGGGCAGGTGGTCCCTTGGTAGACAGTGGGTTATCTTTCTGGTGACATCCAGCCTCCTCTGGAAAATTTCCATTAGCCCTTAGGGGTTGCTCAGAATCTATTGAAAAAAAAAACCTGATAAATCTCACACCTGTCAGGACAAATTGTAAAAGACCTTGAAAGTGAAATGAAAGTCACTCAATTGTGTCCCTCTCTGTGAGACCCCATGAACTGTAGCCCACCAGACTCCTCTAGCCATGGGATTCTTCAGGGAAGAATACTGGAGTGGGTAGTCATTCCCTTCTCCGGGAGATCTTCCCTGACCCAGGGATTGAACCCGGATCTTCTGCATTGCAGGCAGATTCTTTGCCGTCTAAGCCACCAGGGAAGCCCCCAAAAGACCTTGAAATAGGCAGAAAGTTAATCTGGAAGGGTGTTAGAAAACACCCGGTTACCTGATTCTTTGAATCTGTGCCTTTCCTTTTACAAAACCAATAGTAATACAAATAACTCTTATCCAGAGGGATGCTATTGACTTCTGTCTGTGGAAGCCATTTTTGCCCCATCAGCAAATTCATGTCTGCATTCCTGCTTGCCTTTGTAAATCTGTTGGGTCTTTTTTTATTTTCCTTTGTTTTATTTTTCTTTTTTCCTGATTCTCATTTGAACCACTTTTTTACGTCTTGCACTTACTGGCAATGAATGAGTTAAAACAAGATCTTCGACACTTTTTACTTTATATTTGTGGGATCATGATTCTTTTCTTCATTGTTCTTTAACATACCTCATATCTCCCTTTCTTCCCCTGGCTATCAGGAAGGCAAAATTTTAAGATTAAGTTGTCTTATTTTTCTGAACGTTTTACCAGTGGGGAATGCCTGTGGGCTGGAGCTGCAGCCTGGTTCAGGCAACAAGAGCGTGGGATTTCCCAAAAGGGCAAGCAAGGGGCAGCTGGAGCCCCCAGGATGTGCTATGTGACTTTGGGTGAAGTTTTAAACCTTCAAGTGTTGGTTCACCCAGGGTTTCCTAGCAATATAATAGGAAGCTTCCCCAAACACACACCAGGGAACCGTGTGCCTGAGCTATGTGCCTGCCACTTTCCTCCCTTTCCCACAGAAGCTCCACCTTGAGGCGGGCAGGCAGGGTCCTCTGACATTACTGCTGGAGGCCAGTGTCTCCGCTCACTGAGCTGAGGCCCCCCGGGAACTGGCTGGGGCTGACACTCGGGGTCACATCCTCAGCACACTTCCTCCCCACACCAGACCCAGCCACTTCCTCTGAGGACAACAGAAGTTGAATGAGAGAGGAGTTCCTGAGATGTTGCAATACCCGGGACCATGAGGACAATTAGCCCGTAGGTGTCTGCAGCAGGGACAGTCTCCCAGGGGCCCTGGGAGTAATCTTTCTGGAGAACAGCTCTGAATGCACACTGCGTTCCAAGCGTCACATGAATCCTTCCCATAACCCTGAAGTTGAGGGCTCCCTTACCTCCAACAGGATAAAGCTTAGCTGGAGGAAGCGGGCTCAGGCAGGGGTGGAGCTGGATGAGACCGGCCACCTGGCCCAGGGGTCCTGACCAGGATTCCAGCAACGCGCTGTTAATCTGCAGACAGTACCAGGTTACAGATGTAGGGAACTGCCAACCCGACCGTGGCCGGCCTTCTGTCGGCCCCCGGACCGTGCTCCGCTGCCCAGTTGATCTCCCTGACAGGGATGGTCCATCCATGGCACTCAGCCCTTCAGTGGCTCTTCTTCCCGTCATCAGCCCTACACGGCCTCCGTCTCTACTCTCCCCCTTACGGACATCCAGGCCCTCCAGTCCACCAGGGCCCATGTTCTCCCTGTCCTCTCTTCCCTTCATACCCACCTCCCCCATTTTGCCCAACTAGGAGGAACTGCTTGATCTTTGAGGGTTTACTCCAGGATCACCACCTCCAGGAAGCCCACTCCTCCTACCCCAAGTCTCTTGTTATATAGCATACCTGCTAGGAAGGGAGGCAGATTCCTTCTTGATGCAAATCCCTTGGCCCAGAATCAGCCGGGGATTTTGTTGAGATGCAGTCTTAGGTCTGGAATGGGGCCCCAAACTCTGCCTTTCCCACAATCCCCAGGTGATGCCCAGTGGTGTTAATAAAAAAAAAAACAACAACACATGGACTTCATTGGCGGCACAGTCATTAAGAATCTGGGTGTCAGTGTAGGGGACACGGGCTCGATCCTTGGTCCAGGAAGATTCCCCATGCTGTGGAACAACTAAGCCCTTGTGCCCTAACTACTGAGCCCCCAAGCTACAAATACTGAAGCCCACACCGCTAGAGTCCACGCTCCACAAGACAAGCCCCTGCAATGAGAAGCCCATGCACTCCGATTAGAGAGTAGCCCCCCGCTTGCACAACTAGAGAAAGCCTGTGTGCAGCAATGAAGACCCAGTGCAACCAAAAGCAAATTTTTAAAAACCTTGGGAAAAAAACAACAGAGGAGCAAGGATCTAGGCCTTCCTGTACTTCTGAGACCCCGAATCACAAAATCTTGTTCTGAAGGTTTTTAAGCGCCATTGGTTCCAATCAGTTTATGCCTCAATAGCCCTGCCCAGCTGGAACCAGCCCCATTTGGCCCCCAAGGGTGCTCAGGGCTCACAGCAGGTGACTAGCAAAGCTGGGATTCCACAGTGATCTTTACCCAGTGAGGAGTCTCAGGCGGGGGCGAGGCTGGAGGCTGCTAAGGGCCAGCCCAACATAGGGACATCACAGCCCTCATCAGAAAGAGCATGGCCACCTCCTCTGGAGAAGGGCTGCGAACTTCCTGGGTGCCCTTCCCTCACTGAGCACCCCTAGGGCCTGTGGCCCGGCTGAGAGCACAGAAGCCTCTGTGAAGGGAGTGAGGAAAGCGGGGGAGGCTGAGAAGCAGGTCCTGACCGTCACAGGAAGCCCTGAAGCACCCATAGCTAGTGACTAGACGCTTGCTCCTCAGAAGAAAAGCTATGACCAGCATATTAAAAAGCAGAGATATCACTTTGCCAACAAAGGTCCATCTAGTCAAAGCTTTGCTTTTTCCAGTAGTCATGTATGGATGTGAGAGTTGGACTATAAAGCAAGCTGAGCACCGAAGAACTGATGCTCTTGAACTGCGGTGTTGGAGAAGACTCTTGAGAGCTTCTTGGACTGCAAGGAGATCCAACCAGTCCATCCTAAAGGAAGTCAGTCCTGAATATTCATTGGAAGGAGTGATGTTGAAGCTGAAACTCCAATACTTTGGCCACCTGATGCGAAGAACTGACTCATTGGATAAGCCCCTGAGGCTGGGAAAGGTTGAGGGCAGGGGAAGGGGACGACAGAGGATGAGATGGTTGGATGGCATCACCAACTCAATGGACGTGAGTTTGAGCAAGCTCCCAGGAAGGACAGGGAAGCCTGGGATACTGCAGTCCGTGGGATCGCAGAATTGGACATAACTGAGTGGACTGAGACCACAGCACCCCACACCCCAGAGGGGCTCCTCTACAGCAGCCTCAGCTCTCAAGATGAGCACTGCCTTCAGCCATCACCCATGGCCTTCGAGCTTCTAATCCACAGACATGTGGCTTTCTGCCAGCTGCCACTGGAGAGAGAGACTAGAAGTCCTTTCCTCCTTGCCCCAGATGCATGGGGCCCAGAGCCAGGACCCTCCGCCACCCTAGAAGTGGGGCAGGGGTTAGAAGAAGTGGGGCAGGGGTTAGAAGAAGTGGGGCAGGGGTTAGAAGAAGTGGGGCAGGGGTTAGAAGAAGTGGGGCAGGGGTTAGAAGAAGTGGGGCAGGGGTTAGAAGAAGTGGGGCAGGGCCCACCCCACTTCAGCCCCCAACATCCCTTATCCTAGGCTTTTTGCACACACGGGGTTAGAGTTGCCCCTGGACAAGTGAGCCTTGGCCCAAGGAAGGACACATTGCCAAAAGCTAGGAAAACACAGGCTTGTCTTTACAAACCAACCTGGCCTCTCTCCTCTCTGTTGTTTAGTCACCAAATCGTGTTAGACTGTTTGCAACCCCATGGACTGTAGCCTGCCAGCCTCCTCTGTCTATGGGATTTCCTAGGTAAAAATACTGGAGTGGGTAGCCATGCCCTCCCCTCCAGGGGATCTTCCCAACCCAGGGACTGAACTCTCATCTCTTGCATTGGCAGGCAGAGTTTTTACCATGAGCCACCAGACAAGCCCATACAGACTCACTAAAGACACAGTGGTACTTCGATTTCACTGTTTGAATCCATGACCCTGTTATTGCCCGCCCTCCGCCCCTACACAGCCACTCCCAATTCACCCCCATCTAGTCACTGCTCCACACCGATTTCATTTTCTTTTATTAGGAAGCAGACACAGGGCACACAGGGTGAGAAGCAGCCCGACGCCTCCCAGTGAGACCCAAGACAATGGCGGCCAGAGTCAGGGTCATCACAGTAGCCAGGCCTAAGCCCAGCATCACCAGAGGGGGAGAGGAGGTGGGCCCTTCCACGCCACGGTCACTCATCTTCCCCAGGAAGATCAGCGGCCCCACTGTGACGTCTGCTTCCTCCGTCACTGAAAGACAAGACAGCTGAGGGTTACCCGAGTCCCCAAGCCAGGAATCAGGTGAGGGGTTCTGTTCTGCTCAGCGGGCTGAACCAGTAGGTTTAGTTCTAGGAGCTGCATTAGTCTCCCAGACCCTGGGTTATGGGCTGCCCTGATGGCTCAGTGGTAAAGAATCTCTAGCCAATGCAGGAGACACAGGTTCAATCCTTGGGTCAGGAAGATCCCCTGGAGGAGGACATGGCTACCCACTCCAGTATTCTTGCCTGGGAAATCCCATGGACAGAGGAAACTGGCTGGCTATAGTCCATGGGGTCGTAAAGAGTTGGACACGACAGAGCAACTTAACAATGACCCCGATTGTGCGTCAGGACTCCAGGATGACTGCAGAATGGCCCTGGCCAACATCAGGTGGGGGCTTGGAGCCTCTCTCACTTAGCTTTGAGATGGTATCCCCTAGAAACACATGTTAAGTCCCTTCAGTAGGGTTTGACTCTTCGGGACCCCATGGACTGCAGCCCGCCAGGCTCCTCTGTCCATGGGTTCTCCAGGCAAGAATACTGGAGTGGGTTGCCATGCCCTCCTCCAGGGGATCTTCCCCCACCCAGGGATAGAATCCTTATCTTTTATGTCTCTTGCATTGGCAGGCAGTTTCTTTACCATTAGCGCCACCTGGGAAGCCATCCCCTAGGGGTAAGCGGCCTTAAATGGGGAACAAGGACCGTCACCCTAAGGCAACAGCTGGTGCCTCTGAGGGGAGGGGCCTCCCGAGACCCACCGTGCCTGCGACTTCGGGGAACAGGCTGGCCCTCCCGGTGGGACAGCCTCCTGGAACGGCCTGAAATGCCGCAGCGCCCCTTGCTGCAGCATCGACAGATGTCAGTGGGGCCTTCAACCGGAGACCACCTGAGTGAAATACAGGAAATTAGACAGCTGTGCTGCCTGCAGGAAGCAGTTTGCGAATAGTGGGCACATTGGGGGAAATCAACCCGAGTGAGGGTGGTCGGTCTTCCACCCCAGCATGGACTCCTTACCTGTTGGAGGACTTGCTGAAGGAACAGGCTTTGTTTAGTTGGTCTGGGACTCGGTCAACCGGAGTGACCTTCAGGTGGCAGGTGATATATATCTGGAAATAAGAGCAGCTATTATGAGGCAAAGTTCTAGGCAGCTCAGTGACTGGTAAGCCAGTTCTTCAATAACCCTTAAACTTTGAGGAGGGGAAGCCCACTTTAGAGATGGGAAGATGCAGATTCAAAGATCAGCTTGCCTACAAGTCCAGAGCAAGTTGCAATTTGGATTCTGAATTAGAACCCAACCCATCAGCTTTATTCCTAGACTCTCACATTTCTCCCAATCAATCAGCCGTGTCTCACCCCCAGGGCCTCGTTAAATCAAAACCTTAGGAACAGGGAATCAAGCCCAGTGGGAACAAAATCCAACTTGGCTGCTGGAATGGGAGGAATTTTGACAAGACAGGTCAGCCCAGGGCCTCTTGGTAGAGGCATCCACAACCAGAGGTCCCCCTCATACTCTAGGGGTTCCACACACCCCCTTCCCCCATCCTGCACTTGAACCCCAGCTACCTTTCCTGAAGCCTTCTGCATACAGAACCACAAACTGTGGCCACCACCTAGTGGCTGAATGAACCAGCAGGGAAACCCTTTCGGAAACGAATCAGCCAGGCTGCACTCACAACCCAGAGAAGCGCTTCCTGGTCCTTTAGCATCCTTATTCCAGGAAGGGAACTGCCTTGAGCCTCAGCTTCTTCCCAGATGATGCCAACTGGGGCCTCAGATCCCTGGAGTGACTCCTCATTAGCTTTTGAGTAAGAGTCCATCTCCCCTGTACTCTAGCCTCGGTTGGCCCAGCCGCCTGCCCACCTTTGAGGGAGAGCCCTCCCAGAGTTCAGGCTGCCTTCCCTTGATCAGGATCCTCCTCTGATCTTAGGTACCACCCCATCTCCAGAGATGCAGATGCTGGCTCAGGTGTCGCCCGTGCTGATGGCCAGCACCTGTGTGAAGCCTCTTCTTCAGCGGACCACCTGTGACGTCAACTTTCTACCCCTAACCAGGATCGTCTACCTTAAGACCCACAAGGTCATCGAACTGGGGGCCAGGACCCTTCCCCCGTCTAGTCTCCTTTCTCCCCAGCCCCATTCAAACACATGACCTGCCATTTCGAAGCTTCAGGGCAACACCCAGTAGCTTCAGTTGCAGCCTTCCTTTTATCACCGTCTGTAACAAACGACTCCTGTTCTCAGGTGAGGTGAAGTAGCATCCATGTGCTCATCTACAGATTTCCCACTGCTTGCCTCTCAGTGCCACCCAGCCACGTAAGCCCCTGGTTCAGTGCTCCGTAAACCCAGCTGCTTGTTAGACACAGAATTTAAATGGCTTTTGATGCATTTGTAAATAGACTAGTGACGAGGTATGGCATAAAAACACTAACAGAACCTAGATGGTAGGTAAATAGCTATTTGCTTTGAAATCCTTCCTCCTTCACATTTGCAGATTTTAATGGAGTGGGAAAGTTCATGTCAGACCCAACCCCAGTTAAGTGAAAATATATGGGATGATTAAGTATCAGTATTTTGATGATCTTTTCAGGTGGTTAGTACAGGAGCCAGAGCTGGAAATCCTTGCTTTAATCACTGTTTCTTCTTTGACCAGCTATCCCGAATTCCCATCCTCCCAACTCCTTTCTCAGGAAAACTCACTTAAGAGCTACTTGAGGGCTTCCCTGGTGGTGAAGGGGTTAAGAAGCTACCTGCCAATGCAGGGGACACAGGTTTGATCCCTGGTCGGGGAAGGTCCCACATGCTGCGGGGCAACTAAGCCCGTGTGCTGCAACTCCTGAGCCCCCTTCTCTAGAGCCCAGGAGCCCACAGCGAAGACCCAGCACAGCCAGAAGTATTCAAATAAAAGCGTCTTGGTTTGTAAGATTCTACCAGCACTTTCTGGCAAGCTGCCAGTCCTACCTGTTCTTCCTGCCAGTCATCACATGTGGTCCGAATCTTAGCTCCCTCCCCCACCCGCCACCCTTAGTGTCAAGCTGAGCTTCCTAGCTTAGTGGCTCATCAACGGCACCTGAAGACTTGTTAGGAATGCAGGTGCCAGGCTCTACTCCAAGTCTATTGAACCAAACCCTGGAGGGTATGGGGCTCAGTGGTCTAGTTCAACAAACCCTCCAGGTGATGCTGATAAACTCAAGGTTCAAGAAGTCACTGGTCTAGCCTATGTTCAAGTTCGAGAGGCTACCTAGTATGAAAAGGTCATACTGGCTTCCCTTGCCCTTCTAGAAATCCTCCAGGAAGGCTGGCACCTGCTGTTATCATCTCCTCTACTCTGCCATCTGGGTTCTCGTCCTGCTGACCTTGGTGAGGGTAAGGTCAGTGTCCTGGTCACCAGATACTGCATTGCTAATGCAGTATCATCTGATGTGAACTGTCAGCTGAGTCTCCTGGGTTCCCACTCTACCTTGTTCTGTTTCCAGGATCCCTGACTCATTCCATCCTTCGTGGATTTTCTCACTCCATCCCGCATAGATTTTCTACCGCTCTCTTTAAGGCCCATGCTTTCCCAAAGATCTCACTGGAGATCATGGCTTTATCTACTTGCTAGGTTACTAGGATAGGGCAGAACTATCAGATTACTGCTTAAGGGAACAGCTCACAAGCAACAGCACCAGCTTAGGAAGCCTGGTCAGCCTGACCCTACGAGTTCAGGCTTATTCCAGGCTATTAAGCCATTACCGTGTTTCTGGAGTCATTAGCAAAATGGAACATGTCCACGATGAACTGGAGGATCTCCGGTCTAGGTCTGGGTGCTTTGAAAGCAGACGAGGCATCAGTGAGACCATCGACGAGACAACTTTGAAGAGAGCATGTGAAACAGTTAGAGCCGGAGGAAGGTGACACCTTTCCAGATGTGACGGTCACATCCCAGAAGGGTCCCCCGGAGAGGCAGGCCAGCCTCACCCGTGGAAGTCCACGATGGTGTGGTAAGGGGAGGTGCTCCAGTCCGGAGTCAGCGTGGCCACGCAGTGGTCCACGAACAGTCGCAGGGGCACGTGGCTGCCGGTGTGGACTTGGGCCTGGAGGTGGGCTCTGTCTCCCAGCTGGAAGGTGGGCATCATCTTCTCAGTGCCCCAGTTCTCTGCAAGGCATGCTGGGGGTAAGAGCCTGCCAGAGCACTCCCCTGTCAGCGCCCCGCTCCTGAACCACCTTGCTCACCCTCCATCAGGCGCAGAGAGAAAACCAGCTTCTCCTCGGAGAACACCGTGGTCCTGAATGGCACCCAGGTGGGCTGGATGGCCCAGCTACTCACGTTGCCTTGCCTGCGAAGAGACAGGCTGGTGCAGGGGCTCCAGGCCCTACTAGAGACACTGTCCTCCTCTGGGGTGAGTCTGCCCACCTGTCTGAGCACCGCCCCCCAGGATTTTGTCTGGGGAGGCCCTTCCACACATGCCTCGTCCCTTGTGCCTTCGTCATATCAACACCATCTCTCTTCCCCCTCCCAGATCAGAGTCAAGTTCAAAGCCTTTTAGGTATCCGTGGTGGCTCAAAGAATCCACCTGCAATGCAGGAGACCTGGGTTTGATTGCTGGGTTGGGAAGATCCCTTGCAGAAGGGAATGGCAACCCACTCCAGTATTCTTGCCTTGAGAACTCCATGGACAGAGGAGCCTGGCAGGCTACAGTCCACAGGGTTGCATAGAGTCAGACACAACTGAGCGACTTTTACTACTCTGCCCTCAACCCAGCACAGAGGGCCAGGCCTTGTAGTTATAAACCAGTCACCCGGTCCCCAACCCTTTATGCTCCAAGGTCACAGGCACGTGCTTTGCGCTGGGGCCTCCCCCACCCTCACTCAGCTACGGAATGCAGGTTGTGATGGCCACGGTCAAGGTCAGAGCTTGGAGCCCACCCCTGCTCTACTGAGCAACCCTTTCTGAACTGAGGGGGCGGGGCAGCCCTGCAGCTTCCCCCAGGAGGCAGCTGTGGCCCCGGCCAGTTTCAGGGGCTCCCAGTTTCAGGGGCTCCGAGCAGAGGCCGCAGGGCCACCCCCACTCCTACCAGGACTGAGGGCGGCGACCACAGCCCTAGCCCCTCCCCCTCCTCATAGCCCCACTGCCAGACGCTGCTAGGAGGCTGCCAGGCTTGCCGAGGGGCCTCTGGGCCAGGGGCGGCCACACAGACCTGGGGTAGCGGCACTCGATGGGGACCTCCGCACGGTTAGTCCTCAGGATGGACAGGTTTCCCGCGGGGCGGGGGTTGTGGAGCAGGAAGGTGCTGTACACCAGGGCATCGTCGGTCACCTGAGGGGAAGGGAAGGGGTTAACTCTACCAGCATCACCGCTCCAGGTGTGCCCGGCAAGGGGCAGGGGGGCCGGGGCTGCTGGAGGTGTAAAGAACACGGGCCTTGGGCTCAAAGCCCACGTCGCTGACCGATGGGAGCGCCTTCACAGGTGCCCCGCTTCGCACCTGGTTTCACCGCAAAATAGTGACACCGCCCCCGGGAGTCTGGATCAGTTCCATGTCACCAGCAAGCAGCACCCTGTGACCAGAGCGTGTGAGCTTGGGTGTGAGCTCCCATCTCAAGCTGCTGCTCCTACCCCAAGACACACACACTGTTTCCTTTTCCAAGGAAGGCCTGGGGGGCCAAGAAAGCCCCCAGGAAGAAGCTAGAAAGTTCCAGGAATTTCAACTCACTGCCACAGCGGCTACCACCTAACTCACCCTCCTCCTTCTGACTTATTCTCACGCTCTTCTCACAGACGAGGAAGCTGGTTTTGTGGTTGCCCGAGGCCGGAAGAACACCAGCAGATGCTGCTGGGCAATTTGCATCCCCTCCCAACGCCCCCCTCCCAGTGAGCAGCTGCCTGGCCCCCCTCACCGCTCAAACTTCAGGCGAGAGTCCTAGCCTGTCCATTAGCGAGGTCCCCAGGTAGAGAAGCTGCATTTTTGTGCAAAGGGAAAATGTGGGGCTCCTTGCCCTACAGGCAAGAATGTCAGGACAGCGGAGCATCATTCAAGCAAGCGTGTTCCCCAGAGTCAGCGCAGGTGGTGTTCCCCACAAGCCGCCAGAGCCCCACGTGAATTTTCCCACGCGATTCTCCTCTGGTGAGACCGGGCAATCTGCCCAGCTGTGCTCCATGGTGGAGTCACAGGGGATCCTACAGATGTTGATGTCTGCCCCCACTTCCATCCCGATTTCAGATGGAAGACTCTCCTGCCGAGACTCTGCCCCTCCCCATCTCCTTGGGAGGCGATCTGGCCTGAATTACTCGGTTTTCCCCCTGCACACACACACCCATTTGAGACTGCCCCCACGGGACCCACACTTTGAGCCTCTTCAACCACATGGCCTTTGACCCTGCCCTCAAACCACTTTCAACTCAAGGCTTCAAAGCCATTAACATGAATGAGGGAGGCCAAATTTTTTTTTTCTTCCCTGTGATGACTTCTGGGCTTTCTGAGGTTTCAAAGCTCATCTCTTCCATACACTTTTCTAGGGCCCCGAGAAAGCGCTGGGTCACCTGCAGAGTATCCCATCATGCTCCCCCCTGCCCACCCATGTTGACTAAATGCCTCCTGGTTGCCCCCTAGGGGTTCAGAAGTCCTCAGGAATCAGAGCAGGGGTGCCCGGCCTGGCGCAAAGTGCACTGCCACCTCTGGTCCCCACTCTGCCTCCCCAACTTTGGCACCTAGAGGCAGGAACTCCCCCACCCCAGCGCCACCAAGGCCCAGCTTCAGGTCTCAGCGCCTCCACCCACCCAGCTCCCCCAAATGAAAGGGATCCACCCCAACCCCACCTTGCACCCACACTCCGCACCGCGGCCCCCTCCCGTGTCATCCCACCAAAGCCGGGGCTGCCGAGCGGGGCCAAGCCTCACCTGCAAGATGTTACCACACTCGTGCAGCCCGACCTCAAACCTAACCACGCCATCCGTGTCTGCGGAGGCCAGCGGCTCGCAGTTGTCGGGGCCCAGGGTGAGGTCCGCAGGCTGGATGAGCTTCCCAGTGCTGAAAAGGTCTTTGTCGACCGTGACCACCAGCTGGGCCTCCTGACACTCCACCATCACGGTGGGCGGCTTCGACGGCCTGAAGCGCTCGGTTTCATCATCCCAGAAGGGCTGGGGGCTGCAGAGCCCCGTGCTTCCCCAGAGCAGAAAGCAGAGGAAGAGCCTAGAGCGTGGACCCATGGTGCCCACAAAGCCACTCCCACCCACTGTGACTCCTGGGCCAGCACCACCCACCGGAGGTGGTCTTATACCCCCGGTGATGGCCACTCACACCTGGGCTCCCAACTGCCTCTCTTGCCCAGCCAATCAGGTGGGCCATGCCCCTGATGCTCAAAGTGGCCCCCAGGGCCCGCAGCATCAGCCTCACCTGGGAGCTTGTTCGAAAGGCAGACTGGGACTTCTCTGGTGGCCCAGTGGTTAGGAAGGTGCACTTCCCCTGCAGGGGGCACGGGTTCAATCCCAGATGGGGGACCTGAGGTCCTGCAAGCACCGAGGGCAGGCCAAAAGAAAGAAAGAAACCCAGATTCTCTGACGCAGCCCAGGCCGACTATGTCGGGACCCAGTCTTCTGCTCTCTCCCCAAGTGATCTGTATTCACATTAAGTTTTGAGAAGCATCAGCTGGTAGCCTGGTCAGTCATAGCTTCTCACCCCTTCCCTCCTCCCACCCTTTGCTGGCCTTTCCCTCATCACCTAGAGAGGGAGCTAAGAGCTACCTGGATCCTTAGGGTGTGTGTGTTGGTCGGTCATTCGTGTCTGACTCTTTTCAACCCCATGGACTGTAGCCCACCGGTCTTCTCTGTCCATGGGATTCTCCAGGCAAGAATACTGGAGTGGGTTGCCACTTCCTTCTCCAGGGGATCTTCCTGACCCAGGGATCGAACCCACATCTCTCACATCTCCTGCATTGGACGCAGATTCTTTCCCACTGTGCCACCTGGGAAGCCTGGATCATTAGGGGAGACCAGGAGAAAGCCTTTGACTAAGGATTGATTAAGGATGAGGAGAATTTTATCAGAGATGGGAGCTCTTTCCAAGCAGAGAAACCATGGTATCATTAGGAGACCAGGGAATGTTGTGGGCTGCTACTCAACTTTATTTTTTTTGTATAAGATCGTGTTTTTTGATATTTATTTATTAGGCTGCACCAGGTCTTAGTTGTGACACATGGGATCTTTAGTTGTGGCATACAGGATCTATTTCCCTGACCAGGGATTGAACCTGGGCCCCCTGTATTGGGAGCATGGCGTCTTAGCCACCGGACCACCAGGCAAGTCCTTGCTGCTCAGCTTCATAGGAGGTAGCGGGGGAGGGCAGTGCAGGCAGAGGGATCTGTGTGAACAGCGGCGTAGGCAGGGCACTGGCTGGGTCTGAGGGAAAACCTCAGGAACTCAGAGTTGCTGGCGCCTCGGGTCCCTAGGGTCCAGAGTGACAGATTAGGGGGCTGGGGGAGTAGATTGGGGCAGGATCCTAAAGTTGATGGGCTGAGATGCTGAACTTTGCTCTTGGTAGGGGAGAGGTAAGGTGGGGAAGATGAGTGATCTGGCCAGCTCTAGTTGGGGAGGGGTAGGTCTGAAGACAAGAGGCGGGGGGCTGCTGCACCGGTCCTGTTTGGGGAGGTGGAGAAGGACTGCCAGACAAGGTCAGCCCTTCCTCACGGCCTACTCCTTGCCAGGCCTGGGTGAGATTCCTCCAAGAGGAGAAGAACTCAAAATAGGCACCACATTAAACTCCTAGGGGCAGAAGTGATACCAAGCAGGGTGCTGTGGGGCTCCTGGGCACAAAGGCTTTCTGTGTCCCCCATCTCTTTGATTTCAGGAGACAGCCTTCATTCAGCCCACATGCCCTTTGCTGGGTTCCAATGGGCGGATTCAAGCCCTTGTTAATTAGGGAGGGGAGGGGATTTGAGACCAGGGAGAAACAGTCAAGAGTAGCATTGGGGCAAGGTGCCCTTTCCCTACGAATGGGTACACACAACAGTATCTTTGAGCTATTTTGCAGATACCGAAAGCCCCTCCAGGTGGGAGAGTTAACAATTAACAATGGTGTGCTGCCCACAAGCATGTAGACCCCAGACCATTTGGACCTGAAGGTTGATGATGCTACTTGCCTTACCAACCCAAGAAGAATGTCCACGAGCTAATCATGCCCGCTTTGAACAACTACTATAAAACTTCTCACTGTCTTTTCCAAGAGGGGGGACACACAGTTTTGAGGGCATTAGCCCACTGTGTCTGCCTTTGTCTGGAAAAGTAACAGAGCTATCCTGTTCTCCCTCACCCAGAACTCTGTCTCTGTGATCTGATTCAGCACTGAAGTAGAGAGAAACAGCTTTCGGCACCAGAAGTGCAGGTGTGCGTGCTAAGTTGCTTCAGCGTGTTCGACTCTTTGCAACCCCATGGGCTGTAGCCCGCGAGGCTCCTCTGTCCATGGGATTCTCCAGGTGAGAATACTGGAGTGGGTTGCCATGCCTTCCTCCACTGGATCTTCCCGACCCAGGGATGGAACCGGCCAGCGTCTCTTATGTCTCTGCATTGGCAGGTGGTTTCTTTACCACCGGAAGTGTGTACTCTTGTAAATGCTTGCTTCTAATTCCCTGGTGGCTCAGATGGGAAAGAATCTGAGCTACAGTCCATGGGGTCGCAAAAAGTCAGACACAACCAAGCGACTAACAGTAACTGAAGGGACTGAACCTACTTCTAAGTTGCTTAAGTATATACTTCCTTGGTGTTTTTTGTGTTAATAAACTTGTCATTTTGTTACTAAATGTGTGTGTTTTTGTTAATAAACTTGTGGGAAAATAAATGAAGGGGAGAGATTACCCCCACCACTTCCTTTGACTTGATCAACACAGGTGGGGGTGCGGTGGGAGGAAGCCGGCAGAGAAGCAGATGGGAGTTCAGGCTTCAAGCTTGCCTGGACGGCCTGCCCACCACAGCAGAAACCACCTGGGTTTCCTGCCTAGCAGGCCCACAGGCAGAGAGCCAGCTGTGGCCTGAGGCCCCCGAAGGACAGCCAGCCGGAGAGATTGCGTCCTCTGCTGGGAAAGGGACCCCTCAGTCCCACAGCTGTGTTCGCAGATTGTGCTGGGAGTAGGGTGGGGTTGGCTGGGGATGAGCGACCAGGGAGGGCATCCCTGAAGCCATCAGCCCCTCTCCGCCTTGGCGTTAACCCCCCTTAGAGGACTTCCCTGGTGGCTAAGTGGTAAAGAATCCTTCAGCAATGCGGGAGACCTGGGTTCGATGCCTGGGTCGGGAAGAGCCCCTGTAGGAGGGCATGGCAACCCACTCCAGTATTCTCACCTGGAGAATCCCCATGGACAGGGGAGCTTGGAGGCTTACAGTCCATGGGGTCGCAGAGTCGGACACGACTGAGCATATCATAGCATAGAGGGCTTCAGGGGGGAAATAAGAATCGGTGAGGGTAGGGGTGGGGCATGAACTGGGCAGGGGGAGTCTGGGTGAGAGTCTATATGCACACGGGTGGTGATGAGCATGTGTATTTCCGTTTTTCAGAACAAGGACCAGAGACAACACCCCTGGGAGCATGGCCAGTACAGCCCCGACCACACCAACACAGACCAGATTCTGGACGGTTTACATTTTTTTCTGAGAAGTGCTGCCCCCTGGCGGCCAGAATGCACCAAAGCGGAGCCACCAGCTCAGAACATTTTCCTTTACTTAAACATTTTTAAAGCCCAGATGTCGTTGTTGCTTTAGTCGCTAAGTCGTGTCTGACTCTTTTGGGACCCTCATGGGCTGTAACCTGCCAGCCTCCTCTGTCCATGGGCTTTATTTACCAGGCAAGAATACTAGAGTCTGTTGCCAGTTCCTCCTTAGGGGATCATCTCGACCCATGGATGGAACCCACGTCTCCTGCATTACAGGCAAATTCTTTACTGGGAAGAAACCACCTGGGAAGCCCAAAGCCCATAGTGGTTTCTAAAATACTATTCCTCTTTAAATGCTGGACTCAAGTCTCCTTGGAGAAATGGCTGATTCCAGCACTAGGCCCGGGAAAGTACAGGGTGAATCTGGAACATCTTGTTATGTCAAAAAAAAAAAAATGTTCACAAAATGATAAGGATGTGTCAGAAGAACATAGGAGCCAAATGAATGGGGTGGGGTTGTGGGAACTGGCCCAGCTGGGGACAACTGTCCACCAGAATGAATGAAGACAATAAGGACAGCACATTGAAAAAAATAAGAAGTCATGAGTGTCCATGCAGAAGCTGAAAACACACAAATGAGTAGGCTTTTTCCATAAAAAGGGAGACTTCCTTATAGTACAATGCAAACTAATGACTGTAGAAGGAGAAATAGATTCAGAAAATAATCATTTGCAATCATCACAGTGGCAACAGATGCAGGCAAGAAGTATTAGTGCAGGTTAAAAATCAGCTAATGGTGGGTGGGGAAGGGATGGATTAGGAGCTTGGGATTAGCAGATGCAAACTATTACATACAGAATGGGAAACAGGGAATTCCCTGGCAGTCCAGGGGTGAGAACTTGGCATTTTCATTACTGTGGGCCCAGGGTTCAGTCTCTAGTCAGGGAACTAAGATCCCACAGGCCACGTGGTGCAACAAAAACAAACATAAAAAACAGGTAAACAGCAAGGTCCTATTGTATAGCACAGGGAACTACATTCAACATCCTACGATAGGGCACTTCCCTAGTGGTCCAGTGATTAAGAATCTGCCCTGCAATGCAAGGGACATGGGTTTGATCCCTAGTCAAGGAACTAAGATCCCACATGTCTCGGGGAAACTAAGCCCATGTGCCACAACTAATATCCAACATAGCTAAATACTTTTAAAAAATATCCTGATAGAGAATTCACTGGTAGCTTCGTGGTTAGGGCTCATCCTGTCACTGCTGAGGGCTGGGGTTCAATCCCTGGTCAGGGAAATAAGATCCCACATGCCACATGGGGAGGCCAAAGTTAACTCTTCTAAAACATTCAATGAAAGTGAAAGTCGCTCAGTCGTGCCAGACTCTTTGCGAACCCATGGACTACCCGGTCCATGGAATTCTCCAGGCCAGAATACTGGAGTGGGTAGCCTTTCCCTTCTCCAGGGGATCTTCCTGACCCTGGAATCAAACCAGAGTCTCCTGCATTGCAGGCGGATTCTTAACCAACTGAGTTATCAGGGAAGTCCAAACATTCAGTATCACCTAT